GCCCAAAGGTCCCTTTATTAATTTTACAAGTCCTTACAAAAACCAAGTTAGTTGAATACTAGATAGGAAAAATAATAAAAATTGTTTAAATATACTGAATTTATATATTAATTTTAAAAATATAAAGAGTGATTTAACTGATGACTTTTTATATGTTTTGGGTGAATAATAAAGATAATTAATTAGTAATCTATCCAAAGATGATTTTGGTATCCATTATTGAGTTTGGGCATAACACATTGCCGACAAAAGATCTTGGGCAATATTGTATGCTCCAATCATGGACTTCTTCAACTTGTTAACAGTTCAATTTCAACCAACTAATGCTTTTTACAAACTCCAGTTTAAATAGTTCAACACTGTTCATCATTGCTTTATAAAAAGTCAGAATTCCTCATTAAGAAATATATTCTTTACAAAATAAATACATCTTTGAATATTTTTTATTTAAAGTTATACTAAAAATGTTTGTTTCTTATACAAAAAATAAGGAAATAAGGGTGTTTGAATATATAAATTATTATTCTAACTATCTAGTTATTTATTATTAAATTTTATAACACTTTTTTAGTTTTCTTTTTCTTTTTTAATTTGTTTAGTTGATTTTCATCTTTTTCATAATGGAATGAGACATGGTGAGAAGATGATAAACATTTTATTGATTAGAATTTCAATTAAATTATTTTTTTTAATTTAAAGTTTTTTTGTTGTTGGTTGTATTTGAAGGATTCTGTTATTGCATGTGAGACAAAAGTCTATTAAATAAATCTATATTAAACTAGATGTATGATAAGATGATTAATATGTGAATAAGATACATTATAACCAAGTTAGACATTTTTGTTTTTACATTTTTAAGTTGTTGGAGTAATTTTTAAAATAAAAACAATGATTAGTTTGTAAATGAAACATCTTGAAAGCAAGTTAGACATTTTTTTACTTTTGTTGGAGTAATTTATTAAAAAACATAAAAGTTAAAGTTTCTTGTTGAAGTAATTTATTAAAAAAAATAGAAGTTAAAGTAAAGGGAGTTAATTTATGCTTTTTATTTTCAGTTAATTTGAAATTGTAGGTGAGAATATGATCATCTCGCTGATACTGAGAGTTTGTTGAAAAAAGAAATACGTTTTACTAATTTCAAAGTTGAATTGATTTATTTTTATTTGTTAAGTGGTTATATTGATCTTGAAATTATGATAATCAATTTAGAGGTAAGTATCGATAATAAGTTGTGAATCACTAAATGTGATTAATGATATATTGTATATGGGATATGGTATATTTTATTGATGTTTTATTTGATTTATGTTGAAAATTAATGGAATATTTTCGATTTGGCATTTTTAATAATAATGCCAAAGTGCATATGTTGTAATTCTATTAAGATGTTGGAGTTGCAATTGAATGTGTTAAAATGATTTCAGATTATGATTAAGAAAATGTAAAATTACTAGACTTGGAAGGATTATAATATTAACTATTGGTTTTAGAACGGTTGTTGATAAAGTGCATGATTGTAGTAGTTATAATTGATGTTTTAGTTAATTTTATTTGAACTCATATGATGAATATTACATGTTTAAATTACTCAAGCTATGGTTAGAATATGTGGTTTTTGAATTGCATCGGTATTACAAGAGTTTTAAAATATTAATATAGTGTTAAATGTTCTTTTAAACTTGTTTAAGATGATAGAATTGGTAAAAAAAGATTTTGGTAAGTTTTGAATATTTTTTAGTTTGTTGTATAACATTTTTTTGTGCGCGCAATCGACATGTTTCTTATTAAAGTAAAACATTTTTTTTACTAAAGTGACTTTAATAGAATAAAATTGACATGTTTTTAAGTTGTTAAATGTTGTTTATATAATATATAAAAAAAGTTTAAAAACGGTGTTTGAGTAAAGATAATTGACACAAACACATATGAATGATATGCATTTGTGAATTAATATATGATACGAGTTCATCTAATTATATTACATGAGGCACCTAGGAGAGGATGTTTAGATAGTGTTAAGTGTTTTTTGGAATGTTTTAGATAAGAAAAAAAAAGTTTAGTATTGGAAGAACAGGACAAGGGAACAGAGGGAAGACAGGAATGTGGTCCATTTGCAGAGGCAACTAACATGATGCTGTAACTATAAGAGTGTAATGCAGAAAGCAAGTAAGAGTAGCTGATGCAAAAAATAAAATAAAATGAGATGAAATTGACCTAGCCAACAAGGTTGGATTTTAGCAGCAGCAACAACTTCATTTTCTATAGCCACAGGGTGTGTCACAATTACGACAAACACAGTTACACCCTCTTATTTATCTCCATTATAAGATTGGTCACAATTGCTTCTTTTATGTCTGCGCCATTATTTCTTGGTGGGTCATTCAGCCATCACAAATTGGGGGGCAGAGACGATCCCATCCTGATTTTGGTTTTGGAGTTTCGAACAAAAACCCTTCCTTCATAATCATCATATCCAAACTATCTTCATCCTCACCAACTTGCTTTTCAACCTCCATCCTCAATCTTCATTCCCAGTAACACTTAACAAACCAAATTCTTACATATTATTATTATTATTTCTACCTTACTGCATCAGCATTTCAGATACAATCATGAGTGTTTGGTTCTAACTCGTACCTTTCTTTCTGCAAATTTTTCAACAAATTTAACAACTATAGTTTTGAGCATAAGTTTATCGGATTATCGTGAAACCTGCCGCCCCAAAACTGTAGCAAGGTAATGGAATGCAGCAATGCAAAGCATTACTGTTGCAGGATCAGTTAAATTGAGTGCAATTACTTTAGTCATCAATTCATGAATATATGTATTTCATTTTCATTTTCTTTTTGGTTTAAAATGTCAATACAGCAACATGAGTCTCATTCAAGATAGACCACTAGGGCCTATGCTGAGTATCCAGGATCCCATACCTGTGACAACCCAAATAAACATTTAAAAGGTCATTTTCTTTTAAAATGCATGGGAATATAATTTGTCAAATATTATTTGACATGACAAATATTTTTAATAGTTAACATTCATGATAAATAAATGTATTTGATTATATAAATTGCAATAAAAATTTAAATTGTGATAGGGAGATATTTTTAACTATTATTCAAGAAAATATTAAAATTAATTTTAAAGATAATGATAAAAGAAAGAAAATTGCGAGTCTCACAGATGAGAAGATAACCACGTGAAAGTAGAATAACATCTACATGTTCCAGGTTTTGTTCCCCAGTATTTCTAAAAACTAATGATATTATGAAAGAAAGAATTGGCAGCAGAAAATGGAAACTGAAGGAGCATCTAATAATCTGAAAAAATTTGAAAAAAGTATATGAAGTGAAAATTATAATGTGTGGAAATAATTAAAAAGAAAAAGGCTAAATGGGGTGGAGAACAAGAACATGATCCCTGTCTCGTCCCATTTGCAAATGGAGAGAAGAAACTATTTGTCCCTATTATCCCATCTTAACAGATAATGATCTCCATCCCCATTACCTGTTCCAACAACAACAAGCCACTCTCTTTATCTAATATGTCTCAACAATTTTCCTATGCATCATGCAGCTTCCAACACTCCATATTCATATCTCTTTTTTCGTTTCAACATCAAATTTTATCATTTACGATATCAACAACTTCATTTTGTCTTTATTGCAGATGCAGTTAGAAATCAAAAGTGTTTAGTGATTTTAACAAATTTAAAGGAATTAATGTCATTCTGCCCCGATCTTAATTAATAATCTTGGAGTGGTTAAAATAATATTTTGAAATTAATTATAATTTAATAGTTAGTTTTTATCTAAAACTATCACAGTTCATTTTTCATGTGTCATAACGTAGTATAAAACTATCTGTCCTATTCCAGGCTACTTCTGTCGAGAAGCTCTTTGATAGACGAAATCTGTATTCTCTGGATTGAACAGTTGATATCTGTTATATGGTGATTGATTTAATCTAAAAACAGTGTGAGTGTGATAGCCTAAAAGGTAAATTTAGAGCGGATACATTGAATTTGTTTGTATAACTTACAGTTACTGCCTCTGGCTTTGCAAGCATTCTGATGTGAATCTCTTAGTAATAGGAGTACACTGGGTTCCCACACAAGCTCTCATCAAATCAACTATGACCAATGGGATTGCTAGATACACGTGAGAACCTTGTCTCATCACATGGCACCACCTCATCATGTCTTTCAAAGCTATAACCACATTATGCGGTCAATGCAATAGCCTTAAACCAAATAAAACTCACTAGGATCATTCTAGGCTGCTGTCCAACGTTGTCTTTATTAATAGGACAAACTTTAAACACAGTTCTACGATTATCTTTCATGTTATTGTCTAATAATAAGATTTCAACTTTTATTTTAATAACTGTATAATAAAGTATCCATTAAAAGTTGACATAACATTTCAAAATTGAACTTCAATTCTGATTACCAAACACACTTATAAAGTTGTGTGTGAGTTTTATCTTTATTGATATGCCAATAGAACTCAAAATGCTCCAAAAACGATCTTGAGGAATCACCTCTGCGTTTGACTTTCATTCAAAACGTACTTCAAAGCTCACCACAGTCCATCTGCTCATGAACATATGGTCCAAAAATGCATAGTTTTCTTTTCTTTCCTTTTTGCTGGGATTAACAGGGTGAAAAGCAGTGATTTGTCACTGTCAGATGCCACTCAGAATACAAAGCGAATTCACGACCAAGAAAACAGTAATGGACATCTGTATCGCCATGGACAACCTTCACATCTTAGGGGGTCTTGTCTCTGCTTTCATCTTAAGTGCTAAAAAATATATTCTTGACAATAACATGTATACTTTTGGGCATCCATCCAATATACCTCGGGAATCAACGAGGTCTCCAATTGTAACAGAAAAAAAAGCTTGGAACATATCTAGTATTGTTATTCTGTTTGAGAAGTAACAAACTCCAGTTTCTCAACTAAGAAATGGGACATAACTTTGAAAACATGAGCTACTTAGAGCAGAAAATCGTTACCATTATTATTGTTTTGTCGCACAACGGTGCATCGTTTTTTGCACATAAACATAAGTACCATATTTTACAAGGGACCTATCTCTCCAAAAATTTTTAACAACCATATGCTTCTGAACTCGAGCGAGCTCTGATATGGATACACGTGTAACAAACAACCTGCGTATGAACTCAACTTAGACCACATCTTGATACGCATCGCAACTTGATTAAGTGGTGCTGGAATTGTCCATTATGTGATCACAGTAGGTTGCTCCCTCCCTGTGAAGTCTTTGAGCTTTGACACGGATATTGCCAAATCTGTACAATAATAAGAGAAATTAATTGCATAGAAAATAGAGCGAGTAATTTGATATTACTATACTTTATCTCGGTTAATGAAAGTAACCTATTAATGGTTTTAAGGCAATTTGAGCATCAACATCATGTTTAGAAACATCTGGTTCAAACTGTTCGATGTACACTCTAACAGTTGCCCCTGCAGAACCAGTTCCCTGTAAAAGAAAACATTGTAATCAATTTAATTTTACGCCTAAATTTCCGATGTGGACAAACAAACAGATGACACGTACTGATAAACGATATATAATCCTTGAGCCATCTGTAAAAACAAACCGAACGCCTTGTTTTGATACCACACTTCCGTCTACCTGCAAAAGCAGATCAGAACCGAACAATTGCAAGGAAATTGTGAATCATGGTAGTTTGTCCTTGAATTAAAAATGAAAAAAAAAATGAATATGATACAAATGTACACGATGTAAAACTTACAGGATCGGTGTATGTAAAATCATCTGCAAACTGGAGGACATAACTTCCTGAAGACGAATACTTTCTACATTTAAAAAACAGCCAGGAGAGTATTGGAAAAATTTAAAGAAAGTGATTCCTGAAACTTACCATACTTATCACCAGCCTTGCTCTTGGATATAATATCTCGTAGGTATTCTATCATCTTATTGGCGCCTTCAGATTCACATTCCTATACAAGGACTTAGATTTGTTAAAACAAAGAAACATTACACTTAAGCATCCTCAAAATAGGTTACAAAATTCAACTCCAATGGCAGCAATGATACCTACCTCGTAGTCATATCTTGAGAAGAAATTCCTTCCATAAGTTGCCCAGTGCTCCTTCACGACGTCAGATACGGAGATCAATTTCTCTCCCGACTTCTTGTCTTTGTTACGATGTGCAATAATAGAAAGCCAAGCTAAGACAGCCCTGTAATTGGAAAGCATTTAGATAAGACAAACGATTATGCATAAGACATACCTTAGATCAAGTTTGTTACATGCTTGTGGTGTTGTTTCTCAATAAAAAATATAACGTGTACTATTTTTTGTCGTATGATCTTCCCTTTTGAGGTTGTCCTAGTTGAAGCATGAAATGTAATACATGTTTTAGGTTTTATAGGGACACAACGTTACAAACATCTGACCAATTTGATTAAGTTCTATTCTGGACAACAATTTCAGGAAAACAATGACGTAGTTGGTCTCAAATGCAGGTGTCTTTCAGAATTCTAATAATTTAAAGATACATCAAAGTAGCTAGCTTAAAAAATAGGATTGAATAATTAACTTAAATTTACACAACCAAGTAGAATATCTACCAGATGCCATCTTTCTCACGAATGTGGTCAGAACCTGTTCCAAAACTCTCTTCCCCGCAAACTGACAAATTCCCAGCATCCATAAGATTTCCAAAAAATTTCCAACCAGTGGGGACCTGAATCCAGGGTCCATCTTTTGTTATTTGAGAACAATGTTTCCAAATATGTGAAGCTTATTTCATAATTTTAAGGAAGAAATTTAAAAAAGAAATAAAACTTGCCTCGAAGAAAGGGAGGTTCAGTTTTTCAGCAACACGATCAAGAGCACCACTTGTGGGCATTGATCGAGCAAGACCCTGCAATTAAAACACAGAATGTCCATACTTCTGCTCTACAATGACGAATTCACAATAATTTGTGTGTAAAATTTCAACCTTCACGCCATTCTTGAAGTATGGAATTGCTTCTGTATTGGCTGCAATAACTGCTACGGAGTCTGAAGGAGTTACAAAAAAACTTCTTCCTAGAATCATATTTCTATCACCATCCCCTGAACAAAGATTGAAATATATGAATCCCATTAAATAAACACACACAAAGACTGGCAAAACATTGTTGCTCAAGCATACGTCAACCATATCTGCAATATGTCTAAAAAATGGCATGATATAAACCATGCTAACACTCGAACCCCAAATATAACGTTTAGCTTAAAATTTTTGGTTACATTCAACAAAAGATGGAAAGGAAGAGTGAAAATTGAAATAATGTGGTGATATGTTTACCCAAACATTGCTAATTTCAATTTATATTTTCCATACAAAAAGCTTGTTTGAATGAGCATTTTCACAAGCAGTCGGGGAAGAAAAATACGAAAACGAAATGACTTTCTCCATCAGTTTAAAATTAGCCTATGGACAAGTTAAAATAAAAATTTAGAGAAGCTAAATGAAAAACTTCTACAAATTTGGTTATGAAAAAACTAAGTTCAATTTTTTTCTTATTTTTCTTTCTCAGAAGTGTTTATGAAAAAACTTGCCCAAATATACTCAAAGGCTAGAATTGGGGTAGCATGTATGAGTACTGATTTATCAGAATATGTAAGAAATACAATTGAAAAAATTTCAATTGCATAGAGGACTTGAGTCAAGGTTATAGAGAGAAGATTGGACTTCCCCAACAATGTAATCTACAATACTTGCATTAGCTAGTATCCCTGGACTGATTTAACACAGTACAAGTGAATGCCCTTGTTCAATCATTTCAATCCCTTTCTGTAAGGGCAAAGTAGTTTTACCTCTAAAATGGCCTAAATAACTTGACTATACATAACACCAAACTGGATCATGTCATCCAAGAGAATATCTTCTTCAGATGAATTAGGAATTATGCAGAAAATTGTTATTTTCTAGGTTGTAATGCAATCAAACCCTTGGTGGTGATGCAAGGAACCATAGGAAATGTCTAGGTAAACCCTCAAATTTTTCTTCGCAACCAAGCTTTCTTGAGTTTGCAATCCTTAACAGATTTGGTAGACAGAAGTAATACATTCTTTTTTCGTAACTCTCACCTTCTCAGGGGTTTTCCCATAAATCCATCTAGCCTAAAATTACAAATTCACATGTACTATTCACAACGCCCCCTTAAAACTGATCCAATACAACCATAAAATAAACCTATTAAATCCTAAACAAAGAGTGTGTATTTTTCCATAATAAACTGAACCAAAAGTGTAATAAATCTAAGCATTTCCCTGTCCTATGTCCTGTTGCCCCCACCACATTAACACAAACACTGATTGAGAATAATTTGTTGCAAAACTATATAACCTATCATGAATCAAGAACAGAGTAAACATGCAAAGCAGGAAGCATTTTAGAATAGAAACAAAAAGGGCACAATCCAATAGTAAAAGGATGGCATCAACTTTTTATTTTTGAGCATAACAAGACCCGGCAAAAAATCCAAAATAAAGCAAAGCAACTAAGGCAATCAACAACAGGCAAGAATTTTTTTACTGAATATCTGCAAACAAACAATTTATTTAAAAAAAATTAATGACATTAAGAGATTTAATTATTTCCTCAAAGGTGTTAATCAGCAATCAGTCTTATAAAATCAAGTACCAAAAACATTTGGCTAGATGTGAAGCTGTGTCAGTAAACTAAGCATTAGTTCAACATTGCTGCTATACTAATACATACAAGGGCAACCTAGACTTACCCCTCGCATGTGGAAAACCTATTTCAACGATGTAGACCCATGACTCTGGGTCACAAGGCAGTAACAGTACTTGTTGCCGAGGCTATTTCGCAATTGAGACATACTAAAGAAAATTAGCTACTTAATAAAAAGCTGGCTACTGCATTGATCTCACATACCATCACTGGCAGCTCCAAAATCAGGTCCATTTTCAGCGTACAGAATGTTTACAAGATCCTTTGCATATCTGCTCAGGAAACATTACCATCAGAATTAATGTTCTTATGTATGGAAAACAAAATGCAAACAAATAAAACACTAAACTCACGTTAGATTAGGATCAGGATGGCCGTGTCCAAAATCTTCCAAAGGAATTCCATTAAAAATTGAATCCTACATTACGTAATTAACATCCAATATCAATAGCTTCATATAAATTTGTACAGACCCAGAAATAGCTGTTGGAAATCAGCAAATCAAGGAATCTCACTCGTTGGAAGGAGGACTACAGTCCCATTTTTATCTCACTAGTATTTTGAGATTCCTAGTTAACTATGGGAATATCCTATTTATCATTTCGTTTTTTGTTTTCTTTCTTGATAATGTTTCTTTACTGAAACTAAGTAATACAAAGATGAAATAATTTCTTTATATTCTGTTCATATGGGATCAATGTTTGGTCTTCACAAGTGAAAATCAGGTTCATCCCCCTTGTCTAACAGATGTACCACCCCGAAAAGGTTGATCAGCCTCTCACACTTCCCAAAAAACTTAATCTATGCCCAAAAACAAAGTCAATCTCCAATAACTCGCTTTAGGGGAAGAGCATAACCAAAGCTCATCATTAGAACCCTCCCATCTCTGTTTCTATGTTCCTTTATCTACCCCAATGCAAAGTGAAGACCTCAAAGTTCCAGAAAATTCTACCCATTCAGAAAATCTACACAAAACCAAGTCAAGTAGGAGAATTAGAAAATAGACCCCAAGGTGATTTTCTATTTGTCTCCTTAAGTTTTCAACATGAGATAATGTTCCTTTGCAAATTCAGTCATCATATATAGACCTAGATCAGGAGAAAGTCATAAAACGTAACGAAGGAAATGATGCAATGGATGATCTTGATTTGCTACTTCTCTCTCGCACAAGAAAAAAGTAAAAGAGAGAATTAGAAAATAAACCTTGAGGAATTTCAAATTTTTGCAAAAGTTTCCATCATGAGATCACATGTTCCTTTGCAAAGTCAATTTACATATGTGGAGCCAAATAAGAAGAAAGCCCCAAAAAGTAACAGGGAGGGTAGTGATGCAAGTGATGATCTCTGCTCAGTGCTTTAAGGAGTTTGGAGTTGCACAAAACATCTTATATCAAGTTAGTTATCTTTCATATTCTAACCTGTCCCCAAGTTAGGGATCTTTAATTACTAAATTGGAACATATGTAGGTTTCAAAATCAGTTTATGAAATCTGAAAGATCAGAACTAGAGTTATTGTCCAAGAGGAAATGGCAGCAGTGAATGAAAATAAGACCTGGGAAATTGTAACCGTTTCCAAAGAAAAGAATTTCATTGGATGCAAATGGATCTTTAACATAAAGAGGAATGCAGAAGGAAAAATAGGCAACTAAAACACTAGATGCCCAAGGCTATACTCAAATTCATGGCATAGATATGAGGAAATGTTTGACCCATTGGCGAGGCTAAATTCAGTATAATAGAGTTCAGCATACAGAGAGAAGAGAGAAAAGAGAGAGAGGATAAAGTGAAGAAGAATGTTAATGATTAATGAACATATACAAAGAGAGAGGAAGCTACTTGTAATAAAGTGAAACTTGCTATCCAAGCTACCAAAGTCTGACTAACTGCTTTCTAAGGAGCTAACTAACTGCAAGGTAACTGCAGAACAGAAGTACTATACCAATCTATTAAATTATGATATATACATCTAGAAAGGGGACATTAGTTTAGAAAGAGTGAAGATCAAAGTGTTGAGTTCTATGCAAATGCCAGTTCAGTTGAGGATACAAACAAAGTCCATCACAGGGTATTGTACAATGATGTAGGCAAATTTGACAACATGGAGACGCAAGAAACAAACAGTGGTGGCTAAGAGCAGTGCAGAGGTAGAACATAAAGCAAGTGCTCAAGGTGTTCGTGAATTTATCTGGATAAAATAGGTTACTTGATGATTTATCTATTCTTCTCATGAAATAATATAGAGAAATATTTTTTTCAGTCCGCTTATAAGAATTTAAAGGAGGAGGAGTGGAGGACCATACCAGACTTGCACCAAGTTTATCAACGAAGATGGGTTTAGCATAAGCACCAGTAACTGCATGCATGGCATCAAATATAAACCTAAAATAAAAAACAATAAATTTAAGTACTGTGGGATTGCCATAGAGCCTAAGCATTATAACCAGCCATGGCTCTTGAGTTGGGATTTCCCCACTCTGTTAAGAAAAATAACATCCATAATTGGGAAAATCTAACTTGTTACTGTTAATGAAGCACCATTAAAATTTTAGAGGACCATAAAAGGATATATACAACAGCATGCACTGTAAGTACGCACAGAAAAGGGTTAACCTCTTTCAATTTCAAATAAGGTTGACTCAAAAGGAGTATAATACAAATACATAGCAAGGAGAAAAATGTACAAATTCAGAAGCTCCCTTTAATGATTGATTCATATTTAATGACCATATCTCTCAATAGATCCTTCTAATGATTCCACATTTAACGACCATATCTCCCTATTTTTTAATTTTAACGCAAGCCTCCCAAGGATTCTTTTGGGCATGATGTTGAAGTAGCACAGAAAATTAAATATTTTGTCAAACAGGGGGGTCTTAAATTATAATTGTGCAGACAGCAGGATATTAAAAGAGAAAAACCCTTTTGGTTCATGTCAATGTGAAGAGACTATATAGTACCAGAGTAGGATTGTGGAACAAAGCAAACTATATACAAAATAAGATCAAAATAAGCAAGTACACTGACAGAAACAAAATCCAAAGCAACATCCAACCCCAAACAACTGAATATTTGCAATATTTAGGGGACAAAATGACTACCTAAAATCTGGACGTGAAAGAAGTCCTTTGATTAGCTGAAAATCAAATACTGTCTGCGAGGAATATAACAAACGAATAAATCAATTAAATAGAAAAACACAAGACTGGGATCTAGTTCAATTGAAATATTCTATTAGATTAGAGTGGAATGTAACTGAAAGGTTATCATGCTGCAAATAAATTATTTTCACCTCCAGTAGCTCCAGATAGTCAGAGACTGGGTCTATTACTTCCACACTGAAGCTTCCAAACTTTGTAACCCCAACTTTCGATAAGTCAACATCAGGAACGTCAGCTATCTTTATCTCAGAGATCTGCGTCAACATAAAACATTTAAAAGTCTAATATATCCTACCTAATTTAATCAAATGATAAATTAAAATACCAGAATCACTCTGCTTGTTAGCTCTTTTTTTTTTTTTATTTCCCCTTTTGTGGTAAAAGAATTTATTGAGAGGAGAAAAGTATAGAGGAGGACGGACGGTAAAGTGAACATTGACATAGTGTAAAACTTCACACTAGATAAACCCAAGTACAGGCAACTTTATCAGAGTTCCAGATAAACCACGGAAAGAAATTTTGAAATCAATCATTATTTTATCTAAATACCATGATGGAAAAGCTTTGCATTAGAAGCTATAGTTTGCTTGACTATTCTAGTGCGTAACCATTAGGAGCATTTACATATGGAGATACACACAATACAATCGATATGCAACGTGCAAGTTGTTAATCATGTAGTAATATCATGCTGTAATGAAGACTATATTAGAACTTAAAAGAGATTTTACAATTCAAACATTTTAAAGAACAAAATGTAGGATCAGAATAGTAAGTCTTGAATAATGATGGGACACTTACCGACAAAGTGTTTCCATAAATCTTGTCAGTGATGGATTCTGGTGCAGGTTGTCCACTGCTGTAATTAAACTGGAGTAGCAAAGCCATTTATTAGACACACAGATTGATAGATTCGCACAGTCTTAGAAATTGGCCACAAACATCTTCAGAAAAAAGTACGCTTCGACAAAGCTGCAAGATTACGAAATATAAAATTACCAATCCCCAAGCATAATATCCATACAAACCCCCAAAATAAAGACAACCATAGTGACCTATGATGAATCATAGGCTTTTTGTAAGAACCTAGAAAATAGAGTATTAGAGTAAATAGGTGTATTAAAATAATGAGACCGAGTATTTTATTTTAAAATACTCTTATAATATAAATAGAATTTTCTAAAGCTCGGTTCGTTATCTTAATCACCTCTATCTCTCTAGAACATTATCCTCCTTTTTGTAAACCAAGAGTGACCTCTGAATCATAGGCTTTTTGTAAGAACCTGGAAAATAGAGTATTCGAGTAGATAGGTGTATTAAAATAATGAGACCGAGTATTTTATTTTAAAATCATCTTATAGTATAAATAGAATTTTCTAAAGCTCGGTACATTATCTTAATCACCTCTATCTCTCTAGAACAATATCCTCCTTGAGTTCTCTGACTTCTCTCTACTCTTTCTCACTTCTTGATCCACTGTTTGACGATCAGGAAGTACCTAGGGGATCACGGCGTCAAAGTCTACATATCTGCCCAATCAATTTCTCGATTTGAGTAGGTAAGTTTTGTTCCTCTTTTCTAGGTTTTCCCTAATTCTGTGATCACACAAAATTTCTGATAAGGCATGTGTTTGGAGTCTCCTTCTCTTGATTCTTAGTTTCATTTAAGTTCTAAAAGTAGTTTCCTATCACCAATTGGTGATTTGTTGGTGTTTCTAGAAATTTGCTTGTGGTGCAAGGCAAGGACGAAGTAATTCTTAAGCAGTGCAAGTTTGATTGAGGTAAAGGAAGTTAGAGTTTCAATTTTATTTAGTAATTTGATATGTATGTGAGTAAATTCTTGGTTATCTTGTGGTTTGAACTAAATTTAGGCTTTAGAGAAATCGTATCATATGTGATTGGACTGTTTTGGAATGTGTTGTTGATGAACTGTGAAAAATGAACTGAATTGGATGATGATTGATATGTTAGGGGCTGTATTGAAGGTTTGAAATGGTGATAGGGTTGGTTAGTTAGGAAGAAAGTCATTGCCAAGGTTTAAGGTTAATTTGGATGAAGTGAAGTAGTGAAAATGTGAAATAGGGGTTAGATGACCAATTGGTCTGTTAGGATAGTATGGGCAAGTCATTTGAGACCTGTTAGAATCCCTAAGTTGTTTAAAATTGTGCCAAAAGTAGTATAATGTGATTTAGATCCATAAGTTGATGAATTGTGTGTTTTTGAGTGGGAAATTGTTAGAAATCACTTTAGAATGATGGTAGAAATGTTTTGAAACACTTGTTCAAGTCAAATCAGGTGTATAATACAATTTAGAAGGATTAGAAGTTGGGAAAAATAGTTGGAATTGGTAAATTTGGTGTAGGTTGTGTAATTTTGTAGATTTGGTGCTGCAGATTATGCAAACTCACTGAGCGAGTAGAGTCGCTCAGCGAGAGGTTGTGGAGGTTGGCTCTCTGTTTGATGATTCGCACAGCGAGAAGATGTGCTTAGCGAGTGGTTTGGGTCTGGAAGCATTGTCAATCTTATTTGATCAGCGAATGGGTGCGCTCAGCGAGTGAGTTGGAGGTCTGGGCCACTGTCTGGACTTTCGCACGAGTTGGGTCACTGAGCGAGAGGTTGGGGTCTGGTACAACTAGGAATTTTATTCGCACAGCAAGCTGAGTCGATGAGTGAGTGAATTGGAGGTTGGGGTCACTGTTAGTGGATTCGCACAGCAAGCTACTCGCTGTGCGAGTAAAGTCTGTGGTCGCTCAACGAGTGCGTGTGCTGAGCGACTGTTCCAGGTTATCGTGCATTCTTCTCTTCTTTGTTCTTTATTGGATGGAGTAATGAAATTGATTTATTTGTGGATAACATATGATTATGTATGAGTATTATATGAGTATGAAAGTAAGGTTTATGGTTTTAAATTGTGTGGAAGAGAATTCCAAGGAGGAATTTCTCAATGGTGATTGTCAAGTTTGTAAGTATGAATATGAGAAGCTCAGTCTTGGAGTTCATCCTGACATTCTAATGGTCACCTATTCTCAAGTAGAAAAGGGTGAGGCATGTCATGAGAATAGCAGGAGGTCCTAGCTTAGGGGTTTTTCCTTGGCCTAAGGTGAGTGATAACGAACTAACCTTGTGTGGTAGCTTGGGGTGGACCAGTTGTTTCACCACAACAAGTGCACGAACTGCCATATCTATATATTCATACTAATCCGGATTGTTAAGTCAAGTGTTGGTTAAATGCAAAGTTACTTTGGTTTGATATGGTTGTGTTGATCTACTTGAAATTTTAATTGTATTTATATATTACTACTTGTTTTCTTCTAGCTTACCCTTCTACCTGTGTCTGTGTTGTATGTTTTCTTGGTTTTCTTTATTTGCGATGATCATCCTATGGGTGTGAGCAGAGGGAGATGAGGTGTCTCTGGAGCAGGCTCTTGATGGAGGTGATGCTGCAGAGTAGATGTCTCCTGAACAGTAATTGTAAATAGTTTTGTGTAGGATGTTTGTATATAAAGTTTAAATTTTATGGTTATTTTAGGATGACTGTAAAACTTTACTTTATAGAATGTTCAGTAATTGTTTTATCATATCCTTATTGTGATGACTCCTTATTCTAGTGATATGCTATATTTTGGGATGTTACACTTCAGGAGTATCAACCAATGTCCTCACCTAAGTTTAAAATACAGTAACTTCAGGAGTAGTTATCAGCATTTGTCAATGCATAATTTGATCAATGACAACTTAATGGATGAGAGTAACTATAAAAGATATTCACCTTAATACCCCAATCATATTCAGGTCCACCGGGATTATGGCTTGCACTCATAATAAATCCACCATTTGCCTGATAAAATTTAAGGAAATCAAAAGAAATGAGCAAATGAGCTGGAAAGGTTATGCTCATTATACGCCAAAATATTGCAGGAGAAAAAAAGTTAAAATGGCTTGCCTTGTGCTTTCTTATTACTGCAGAAACAGCTGGTGTTGACAAAATACCTTCCCTGCATTTGAAATAAAAAGAAATACTCAATTGCTATTAATACCTCCACAGAAGTAATTTTGCATTGAACATTAACTCATACACTGACCCAACAAAGCTGTTTTAGCCTAATGATTCCATTCACTAGTAGAGCTCTTGATTTGGAAGAAAACTAATAGGAAAAATCAACTGATTAAGATACTTACTTTCCGACCAGAATCTTTCCAACACCATTTCCAGCAGCAATTTTGATTATGATCTGTAAAGCACCAAAAATGGGTGTAAAAATCAGAAACAAAATGATTTTCTGAATAGTAAATTTAAATCTGATTGCTATTGAGACACATTCAAAAAAGTTTACCTGTGCAGCTTCCAGATTGAAGTATCGACCATCACCTCCCAACACTAACAAACCATTCTTGTAATCCTCTGGAGGCAATGAGTTAAACAGGGCCTACAGATGGACAGGATTTTCACTTACATGCAAAACAGAATCCATAAATCACACACAATCATACATTGAATAAAATTCTACAAACCTGGATCCAATTTGCAAGGTAATTTTCTTGCATAAACACTTTCACCTACAAAACAAATACGTATTAGTTTATTATAAGAAAAATATTACACCCACACTGTCAATGCTTCCTTATAACAGTGTTCCTTTATTAATAGCTTTCCAATTTGCTACAGTCAGTTAATAACCAATTTTCAAACAACGATGAAAAGAAAACAAATCAGTACACGGAAAAGGCTATCAAACCAGTGTTTACTAAAGAGAAAAATAATGAGTAACTAATTATGTGTTAATGAAGTAAAGAGAAACAGCAAAACAGCATCCTGAAAATATAATTAACAAAAAAAAGGGGACATCCAACATTACGACTTTGTTTCATATTCAAGTATAAATATATTATCAATCATAAATCTATATCAACACTAACACCATTCATATGCTACAAGCTTTCTGATCGAGCATAACCAAACAAGGTATAAAGAAAATCAAGAAGGGTCTAATTGATCACTTTGATCCATGAAACCCAAATAAAGTTACTGTAAGTAGAAAATGAGCGATGAGTTGCTTCAATTTCACCGCTTTAGATTACAAGTGTTCCATTGCTAGACTAAACAACAAGGAAACTAAAACCCGCAAGCCAGCTACCTTCTTCCGAAGCCCACTGGTACCAGTCTTTTGTCCCTCAAAGGGTTTGGTTGGAATCGAATTAATCTTGCAACAACAAAAGTATAAAAGAAAATGTTAGATATTAGAACTTGAGAGCATTAATATGAACACAAGGGACAATGCATGAAGGGATAAAGAGAAAACCTTAATGCCTTCAGGTTCGGCAATGGCTGTGGAAGGGGATGAGGGTGCTGACGTGGCTCGGATGGTTGAATCGTAGCGAATTCTGAAGGGAAGCTTTTGAGGCTTCAAGGAAGAAGGACATGGGAGAAATGAGGAAGGTTGGATTTTTGAAAGTGGGGCAGTGGAGTTTTGCGATTTGTAGGCAGAGAGGATGAAGCTGTCAAGTTTAGAAGAGAAAGCCATTGATGGGTGTGAAGGAAATATTGTTCTCAGTTGTTTTCTGAGAGCAAGAGAGACACTGATCCTGTGCTACTGTGAGTGATGAGTGATGAGTGATTAGTGAAGTGACGATTTATGTGAGAGAGTCTCTTAATTGAGATAGGACACATAGATGCCACATGTACGAAGGAACACTTATCTTGAGATTCAACAACATGTGAATCTGAACTGTGAAGTGCTTTTTTGGCACTTCTCATGATTTTTGCTGAGAAGGTAACTGAACATAGTATTTCGATTGCAGAAAGAACGGCTAAGAATTATTCATCGGACCCCATCTTGATTCTCGCCACGTGGAAAATTAATTCACCGATTTCCCTGCATGCTCTCTTCAACTATTTTTAGTTAAATCTTGGTTTAAAATGACCGAATACTGTAATTCAATAAGCTTATAATTACTAACTAAAATACACAGTTTAGATATTAAGAAGACTTTATATTCTGATTAGACATTTTACTACATACTTTTCTTCTTCTATACTTTGGATGTATATTTTACGCACTACACTCTGATTAACTAAAAATAATAATTCGATCATTTTTAATTAGATTTCTTATTCTTGTTTGATTTTCTTAAATGGTTTGAACCTTTCAACTTTTTTATTTTAATTTTATTTATAAATTAAATTTTCAGAATTTTAAAATGAAATTGTTAGTTGTTAAAAATAGTTTTGTATTATAATTAAAAATATAGTAGAAATTTAAAATATAATTATAATTAAGTATATTATTCATTATAAGTAGTGCTATCAAAATGGGTTGTAACTCGTGGTGAGCCGGATTGGCTCACCAATCCACCTAATTTAATTTAATTATTTATTATATTGTGTTTCATTATTATTAGTCAGTATTATTCAAGTCTCTAATATTATAAATAGACAAGTTATACAAAAATTATCAATATTAAACTTATTTATTCGTAATATATTTTTTTTATTTTGAATTGTCTTTGGAGTTTAACATCATTTTTAGAGTGAAATTTATTTAGATTTGAATTAAAAAAAATTATAGTATTTTATTTTAAAAAAAACTTATAATTAAGTGAGTCAATGAGCCAACTTATTTAACCCACCAACCTGTGGTGGATCAAGCCGGGTTCAAATTTTTTCAGCTTGTTAATAAGTGAGCCAGGTTGGGTTAGCTCACTAAATGATCAACCCGTGATGGATCGGGCCGAGTCGTATCGAATTACCCATTTTGACAACTTATAAGTTTAGTTATAGTACAATTGGCATGTTGAAAACATTTGTTTATTGTGATTGTTACTTATATAAACAACACTTAGTTAAAAAATTTGTGAAATGTTGACTAAGTTTACAAGATATTTGACTTAAAAAAAACAATTTACTTTAAAACTATTCACAAAATTTTAAACATATATAAGAATATAAGATTGACTTGGTAAAATTAGAAGATAATGTGAGATATTTGAACTAGCAAAATTAGGAATGAAAAATAAAGTTTTCTTTGTTTGAATTCATTTTAATTTTGACAAAAATCTCGATATTAATTGGATATAAATGGTTAGAGATATAAATAATATTTAATATTTAGAAGTAACTATGGAGACATGGATGAGATGGACATTCTTATATTTAGATTCATCTTCGTTTTAAATTATTAAAATATTTATAATTCATTAGACAATTTAATATACTTGTATTTATTATTCTCTCTTGTTTTATATTTTCATTTCAATTGAATTATTTTTTCTTTTGTTACACTTTTTTTATTTTTTCAACTATTATTTTCACTAAAATATATACTTGTATTTATTCTTCTCTATTGTTTTATATTTTCATTTCAATTGAATTCTTTTGTCACACCTTTTTATTTTTTTAACCATTTCTCATGTTAAATATTTGCAAAATTCACTCAAATATGATTTAATTTTCCCATGTTACATGATCACATATTTTTTTCTAATTTTTTAGAATAATAAAAATAATAATATATTACATTTGAAGAAACATAAACCTCAATTTCACTAGATCAAATAACTTTTTTTTAAAATATTTAATTATTTTTACTTTAATATTTGTATTTATTATTTATTTTTTAATGTGAAAATATCTCAATTTCAAATGGTTAATTCCATAAAAAATTCTCAGCGTACTTTTTTTAATTTTAAATAATTGATAATATCATATTTTGTTTACTGTGATTTTTATTCTTTTGTAAATAAATTATATTTATTACTCGATGAGAAGGAAATTGACAAAAATTTCAAACTTGCATATAAAGATGAAAGTGAAAATGAAATTTTACTTAAAAAATGAAGATGATAGTCAAACCTGCACCCAACGTATAGCCATCCTTAAGCAAAATCTCATAACTTTGTTTACTATTTTTATTCCAAAGAGGAAATATAGAAATATACTAGAACGCGATTTACATCCCGCCCCAAAAAAGATTAAATAAATAAAACCATAAATTTAACACATTTTTATTTTTCCAGCACTCCAAATATCTAACATAAATTTGCCAGAGTTTTCATCATTCCCTAGGTAACTTTGAAGTACCTTTCTCAGGCTGAGAAGTGAACAAATACATTTATAATTTGATTTCTTTTCCCTAAGAAGTAAAGCCCGGTAACATAGCCATCTCTTTAACCATCAGTGGGATCTTCCTCCTATAGTCTACAAGAAGCTAAAGAATGTAACTATTCGAATCAGCATATTGGACTCTCTTGTTTAACTACATCATTCCCTCGGTAGAATAAATAGTATGAGACAAAAATGATCACCTGCAAATCTGGAGTTCCAGTAATAGAACTTCATTCTTGTTCCCCTAGGCCCACAGAAGTTCATTACTTCGGAGTTAAAGAACCATTAATCCAATGCCACAACCTAGGTTCAAGATATTGTAGAATTAGCGTGTGTCTCAGTTTTCTCTAATTCGTCATTCATAATATTTAAAATGTCATTTGGGGGACATTTGTCTGCGGGGTTCTTTGCAGATGTTTGGCAGAAGCATTCAGGCCAAGAATTAGTATAGAAAGACTCTGGAGAAACACGCTTATGAGGTTCTCCAAAGTTTGTTCTGAGCATGACCTTCCTAATAGCTTCATCAAAACCAGCTGTCCGCCCATTCTCCTTATCGATGAAGATTGGGGCAAGAGATTTTCTATCAGGTCGGATTGTAGTACGGAAGCCATAATATAGACGATGTCCAAGGAGATTGTTGGCAAAGTTGCTAGGGCCATCATAAGTTGGCATGAAAATGTCAGAAAGAAGACAGACCATGTAATCCACAGCAGAACCGGCCAATCCCCTAGTGTTTTCAGCAAGCTCTTCAGAGTGTTCCACAGAAGAATGATTCTCGAGTCGAGGGAACAAACTTCGAAATGGTTTCATAAATCGTTCCCCTCCAAACAATTCACCAGCTGCAAGATATATCCTAGTCGAATTGTCAAAACCCAATGCACGCAGAATAAGACCAACCTACAATGAGAAACACAAAAGTGTGCGAATTGAAACATTCAAATCATATAATCCAAACAAATTTGAAATTTGTTATCACCAGCATACATGTAAAGGTTAGTTTATTAACAAAGACCCTGGGAAAAAATTAAAGAACAACCAAAGCAAAACTAATGTTTACCTCCTCCGGAGTCAACGGGCATTTCCCAATAGCCCTTCTTTCATTATAGACAAGTCTTTTAGGTGCAAAATTTTCTTCTCGATACTTTTTCAAAATCTTTTGCTCCTGGGGCGTAAATATATCAAAGCATCTGAAATCACATCCATATTCAACATGAGTAATTAAGAAGAAGAAGAAGCTTTATATATGTAATTTTTCAGAGGAGGGGATTGAGTTCACCTGTGTACCAAAAATCTGATTTTTGGATCATCAATTGCAATACATATCAGACTAGTAGTACTATAAATATGGATTATTACTGTTTGTCTTTTTCATTATATCACATCATATCATTTATGTCTTTTTGCATCACATCACATCATATCATTTCAAATCCATCACACATCAGAATCTCATTTTTCTCTTTATCCTTCCAACCTAAATTCCTATAACACTTCCGCACAAGCTTGTAATATAAACACTCTTATAAAGGAGGATATCCATGGTGCATGTCTAAGAATTTAACGAACTACCAAAATTACAATTATGTAGTGCAGTAGAAGAAAAAACAAGAACAACATTCTATTTCTTGAACAAATATGCCCCACACATCATTAATTAGGACAGACTTCAAACTTTGGAGCCAAAATCTGTTTTACAAGCACTTAAGATTGAAAAGAAATAATTCTTGAGGGCTT